CTTATTTCAGAAGTAAGGCCAGGGGCACCTGGGTGGCTCAGTCATGTAAGCGTCTGACTCTTGGTTTCAGCTGAGGTCATAATCTCACGGTTCATGAGATGAGGCCCCATGTCAGGCTCTGCACTGACAACACAGAGCCTGCTTGGGATTCTCTCTCTCTCTGTATCTCTCTGCTCTTCCTTCCTACATGTGCTCGCTCTTTCTCTCTCTCTCAAAATAAATAAACATCAAAAAGTAACAGGAAGTAAGGGCAGCATGACTGAGGACCAGTAATAAAACAAACCTAAAACGACCAAAGATACAATCCATGAAGCAACCTACCAGGTAGGTGATAATTTACCAAGGATTGGGGGATTATATGAAACACAGAGAGTTTTTCAATCAGACAAAAATAGGAGACACAAAATCACACTTTTCAAGTACATGGAAAAACAACTTACTTAGGGTGGGGAATGCAATCAGTGAATATCAGGGGAAAAAAATTAGAAACAAAGGCAGTGATGGCGATAATGCTGCTCATTTGCATAATTTCTCAATTTTCGAGCCCATTTTGGGAAATAAAATCTCAAGAAGTAACAGTCTCACACTAGCTAGGATATTGTTATATTGAATCACAGCTTCTACAGTGATCAGGAGTAATGGCCCTTCAGTTTATTTTAAATAGAGGAAAAGAAACACACATCAAGATCGGTGAACATTTGGAATTTTAAAAGAACCCAATCCTATCTTTATTTTTTAAATGCTACCAATTCTCTTCACTTGTTTTACTGAAGTGTAATATACAAGCAGAAAATGGTCTACGTAAGCGTGGAGATCGATGAACCTTTGTAAACACGTCCACGTAACCCGCATCCGGATTAAATGGAGGAATGCTACCGGATCCCAGACACCATCCCTATAACCTTTCCAGGCACCCATCCTTCCCCGCCCCACCCTTCAACAACACCTATCCTGAATTCTAACCAGAGGATCCAGCTTCCCTTTTGTTGGTACTTTTTACAAAAGGAATGGGTTAGTTTGTACCCCTTTGTCTCTGGCATCTTCCTTTCAATACTATTGCAAGATTCAGCTACACTGTTGCATATAGTTGTAGATACTCACTCTACCTCTGCTTAACTTCCACTGTTGATGGATGTGTGGGTAGTTTCCACTTTGTGGCTGTTCCAAACAACACAGAGATGGAACGTTCTGATACGTATGTTTTGGTGAACGTATGTCAGGTATATATACTTAGGGATAGCCGGCATTTTAAATCAACCTGGTCCCAAGCACACACAGTATGTATTTCAGATGCATTCTGTTCATTTTGTAAAATGCTGATAATTGGCAAAGCGATCATTTACCTCACGTGACTACTTCTGACACCATAACCGCCACCTGAAGGGGGAGTCATCCTCTGCCCTGTGCTTCAATATAATTTAATCACTGCCCCTATCAGGAGCTGATCACACATTGTAACTTAGTTCTCACACGTTTTTCCTAGTCCCAGAAAAGCAGGGGTGAAATCCAACACGATCCTGTAAGCCCAGCACGTCCACTACCCTCAGGGTTTTGTGAAGGAACACATTCTCTAGATGGATAAATAAAAACATGCAAACCAGGTTAGCACTTACCTCGGTTTCTTTCATTAACAAGTTGAGTTCAGAAATTTGACTCTTCACCTGGCTCTCCTTGCCAATAAGGTAATCAATATCCTTTGAAAGCTTTTCCTGTTAGAGCATATCAGAAACACAAATAAACAGAAGCAGGAGTTTAAACAAAGGCCTCACAGGTTTTTCCTGCTTTTATTTATTTATTTTTTTCACACAATACCCATCTTCTTCTTTAGCCTATGATGAGAACTGGAGACTGTCATTATATATATATATATATATATATTTTTTTTTTTTTTTTTTTTTTTAACGTTTATCTATTCTCGAGAGAGAGAGAGAGAGAGGGTGAGTGAGGGGCAGGAAGAGAGGGAGACACAGAATCTGAGGCAGGCTCCAGGCTCTGAGCTGTCAGCACAGAGCCTGACACGGGATTTGAACTCATGAACTGTGAGATCATGACCTGAGCCAAAGTCAGATGCCTGACCGACTGAGCCACCCAGGCGCCCCTGGAGACTGTCATTATTAACTCAGAGTAAACAGTTACTGGCTTTGAACACTGAGGTCCAAGAACATAGGAGACATTAGAAGCAGGCTGGATAAGAGAACAAGGCAGTGATGCTCAGACTGGTATTCAAAAACCTGGAATATATATATATATAATACATTTTTGTTGTCTCCTCATCGCTCCCAAAGGTCTTCCTCCTCAGGCTTCTGAGTAAATGGAAGAATAGCAAACGGGAGTGTGTCCTCCATCAGATTTTATAATTCATTCCCTCGCTCTCTCGTTCTCTCTCACACACACACATACACACACACACACACACACACACGACCCAAACAGCAACAAAGACCCTTCTAAAATAAACTTCACAGCCTAGCCCAGGTGAGCTATTCATTATATAATTACACATACGCAAAAATGAAAATAGAGATGTATAAGAATAGAGCTCATTAGGGGCACCTGGGTGGTTCAGTCAGTAAGTGTCCAACTTCGGCTCAGGTCATGATCTCACAGTTCATGGGTTTGAGCCCTGTGTCAGGCTCTGTGCTGACAGCTTGGAGCCTGGAGCCTGCTTCAGATTCTGTGTCTCCCTCTCTCTCTGTCCCTCCCCCTCTCACACTCTAGGTCTCTCTCTCTCTCTCTCTCTCAGAAATAAACAGTAAAAACAAAATTTTTTTAAATAGAGCTCATTAAGCTACCAGAGCTCATTAAAGAACTTCTTTATAAAGGAGTGATTCTGAAATTAGCATGCTTATTGCAGAGAGAATATAATAGGTGTTGGTGAGATCCCTCATTTAGCCCAGAAAAAATAACACGTAATATGACTGAAGTATATTAAAACACAAACAAAAAAGCCTTGAGGCACCATGGGGTTCAAAGTTATGAGAGACAAGTGTACTCAGAGTCTAAATATGCATAGGAATATCCTGAGCTGTCGCCCTAACGAGAGGATCTGAGGATTTCTCAGTCACTGCTGCTGACCTGAGGGGCTCAACAAGGAACAATTCCAGGAGCTAACTCGAGGCTGGGAGAGCCCTGTGCCTCACCAGCCAAACTAAACGAGCAAAAAACAAATTTAAAAACCCTCAACATTCATGGGGCATCCAGAAGAGTAAACCACGTAAGGTTTTGCTTCAACAGTCTGGTAAAACTAGTCCCAGATCCAACTGCCGCTCTGTCCTGGCAACTGAAGCTTAAAAGCAAGTCAAAGAAGGAGCAAACTGTGTCGAAGTAACTTACACGCTAGAAGAAAACTCAAGAACATCTGTAGGATACAGATACAGTGCTCAACAAGGTAAAATTTACAATACCATACAAATCACACTGAAAAGAAAAATCAGCCACAACTGAGCTTGTGAGGTGCCTGGGTGACCCAGTGGCTTAAGCGTCTGACTCTCGGTTTTGGCTCGGGTCCTGATCTCAAGGTTTGTGAGTTCGAGTCCCACATCGGGCTCTGCACTGACAAGAGCAGAGCCTGCTTGGGATTCTCTCTCTCTCTCTCTCTCTCTCTCTCCCTCTCTCTCTCTCTCTCTGTGCCCCTCCCCATCAGTACCACAAAGAACTACCTGGTTAAAAAAACTAACAACCTAATATTAGTAGAACACTGAGTGACTCTTTACATTGTTAACTCATTTCAAACAAGACCACAAAGGAAGCTAGGATCTTATGAAGACAAAGCTAAAGGCACAAAGTAAAACAAAGTTATAAAGACCCAGAATCGAGTTCCAAAACCACACAAATCCTACCTTTAAGGTCTTGTAGGCACTGCTCATAGTGGTTACTCGGTGATTGGAATGATTGCCGCCCAGCTTACAGAGGTGACAAACCGGTCTCCGACACAACTCACAGTACATGTTAATTCTCTCAGTTTCATGTTCTGGGCACATTAAAATCTACGGAATGAAGAACCAAAGTGCAATTAAGGGTCAGCAGAGTTTGCCGGATACTCACAAAGTCCCTAAGGTACAAAGACGCGCTTTACAAAATCACCAAATAAAGCCAGTGAAATACATAAAAGTGTAAAAAGAAGAAGCGTAAAAGCATTTGGTATATCATATGAAAATTTTCTGTATTACAATTACTATTTTTCAGTTTGAGAGTTCAAATGGTCAGTTAAATATATAGATGTTATCGCCCTTAAACTTGGTGGCAAGAAGATGAAAATTTCATTCCTATCAGACTTGCATGCTTAACCAGGCCAGAAAGGCCCTCTGGCCACACTGGAGTAGGCAATTCTTAAGGACCATGACCCATATTTTTGTAAGGTCCAACAGCAAATGGCTGATGGGAACCCATGGCTTCACCATCCTCATAAGCTGACTCAGTCGGTGGAGCAGGTGACTCCTGATCTCAGGGTTGTGGGTTCAAGCCCCACGTTGGGTGTAGACTACTTAAAAATAAAAACTTTAAAAAAAAAAAAAAAAAGGACAGGGCGCTTGGGTAGCTCAGTCAGTTGGGTGTCCAACTTCAGCTCAGGTCATGATCTCACACATTGTGAGTTTAAGCCCCACGTCGGGTTCTGTGCTGACAGCTCAGAGCCTGGAGCCTGTTTCAGATTCTGTGTCTCCCTCTCTCTCTGCCCCTCCCCCATTCATACTCTGTGTCTCTCTCTCAAAAATAAACATTTAGGGGCGCCTGGGTGGCGTGGTCGGTTAAGCATCCAACTTCAGCCAGGTCACGATCTTGCGGTCCGTGAGTTCGAGCCCCGTGTCAGGCTCTGGGCTGATGGCTCACAGCCTGGAGCCTGTTTCCGATTCTGTGTCTCCCTTTCTCACTGCCCCTCCCCCGTTCATGCTCTGTCTCTCTCTGTCCCAAAAATAAATAAATGTTGAAAAAAAAATAAAAAAATAAACATTTAATTAATTAAAAAAAGAAAGAAAGAAAAAGAAATCTGTTACTGAGGAGTCTTAGAACACTTTATGATACAAGCCTCCAGATATTTGCTTTTACATATTAATCATGCACACAATTACCAAACTTAGAATTGTTTTTTTGTTTTGTTTTAAGATGTAAGCTTCTACCTTCTTTTTTACTCTGAAAACTATCATCATAGGTATGTCTGAAACTGTACATGAGATAACTGGGTTCATTTGCAAGAAAGCGGAGATTCCTTTAGACTAGTGTGTCAATGAAATTAAACAGTTATCGGGGGCTCTGACAGTTCAGATTTTGTGCCACTACAACTGGTTTGGTAACACTGAGACAAAAAGTAACATCCGATATGAAAAGTCTTGATACTAATGTGCAGGTCCAGGAGAAAAATAGAAGAAAAAAATTCAAATTCTTCAGCAGGTCCGACTGCCTACATTCTCAAAGCCATTACATGTATTTATTTAATCATTATCTTAGTTCCAGCATAGTTAGCATACAGCGTTATATTACTTTTCAGAGCCATTACATTTATTATTTGTATCTTTTAAATATGTTTCTTTTTTTTTTTTTTTTTTAACGTTTATGACCTGAGCTGAAGTCAGACTCTTAACCGACTGAGCCACCCAGGCACCCCTAAATATGTTTCTTAAGTAATCCCAATGTAGGGCTCGAACCTACAACCCCAAGATCAAGAGTCGCACACTCTACTGTCTGAGCCAGCCAGGCCCCCCAAAAGCCATCACCTTTAAGATAAGTTATAAAATTTGGCTTTCTGCAAGGAATGATGACAAGAACTCAAAGTTACTGGCAAATACTTTACCTTCGTAAAATTTTTGTAAAATTTGTAAAATTTCGCTATATTGAGGAACACTAATGACTTGAAGGGAAATAGTTTCTTCCTCAATATAACTTACCCCTATATCTTCAGCTTCTTTCTTACCAACCTTTCATTATATTTGTAAACAGAATTAAGTCTGCAATACTCTGAAAATGTTACTCAAGATTTCATGAGTTTGTAAGTCATAAAAACCCAAACCTAATAGAATTCATTTAATAATCAGGTTCTTTCATAATGGAACAGTATTAATCAACTTAATTAATCTGTGTTTAATTAAAACACAAAGCTTATGGCATGCATATGTATATATGTGTACATATATAATTTTTTAAGTAGGCTCCATGCCCACTATAGGGCTTGAACTCATGACCCCAAGATCCAGAGTCATGTGCTCTACCAATAGAGCCGCCAGGCATCCCTGAAGACATGAATTTTTCTAAAAGTATACAACCTGGAGCACTTAAAATGAAATAAGGAACATAACAGGGGTTAAAAATCATTTGATAAATCTATTGCCACAATGACATAGTTTGAAAAACAAGCACAGAAGTTTAAAAAGCATACAAGCACAGACTGTTTTTGTTTTAATCTACCAGCCCTGCACTTAATAGGATGTAAGAGGGGGCGCCCGGCTAGCTCAGTCAGTAGAGCACGTGACTTAGGATCTTGGGAGTCCTGAGTTCAAGCCCCACACTAGGTGTAGAACTTACTTTAAAAAAAAAAAAAAAAAAAAAAAAAAAAAAAAAAAAAAAAAAAACGATGGGAGCACCTAGGTGGTTTGGTCAGTTAAGCATCGGACTTTGGCTAGGTCATGATCTCATGGTTCATGAGCTCGAGCCCTGCGTCAGGCATTGTGCTGACAGCTTGGAGCCTGGAGCCTGCTTTGGATTCTGTGCACCCCCACCTTCCTCTCTCTCTGCCCCTCCCCCATTCCCTCCCTCCCTCCCTTCCTCTCTGTGCCCCCACCTTTCTGTCTCTAAAACAAAACAAAACAAAACAAAACAAAACAAAACAAAACAAATGATGGGGGCACCCGGCTGGCTCAGTCAGTTAAGCTAGTCTGACTTCAGCTCAGGTCATGATCTCCTGGTTCGTGGGTTCGAGCCCTACATCAGGCTTTCTGCTGTCAGCAGAGCCCACTTCGGATCCTCTGTTTCCTGCTCGTGCACACACACTCTCTCTCAAAAATAAATAAACATTTTTAAAAAAATGATGCAACAAATACTCAGCTCATAGTTTCAAGATAACTTTGGGGATTTTTTTTTTCCATTTTTTTATTACAAATTAAAGAGAAAAGTTTTGGGCTCAAGAATGCAAATAAATTTTCATACACAAGTTACTAAGTTGTAATGAATAAGAACTTTAACCAAAAGAATCAACTAGTTTTTCTAAATCTGCATAAATCAGAAAGCAGTATTAGTGAAGCTATCCAAACATTCTTCTTGTCAGTCACAAAGCAGGGCAAACAACAATGCATAAAGTTCTTTTGAGCATGACCATAGAAATTACCCAGAAAGGTTAAGAAATATGACTTCCACTTCAGATATTACATTAACATTATACCACAAGCTTCAAAATATTAGGCTGTACTTACTCTTACTTACTTAGAGCACAACGGTAGCTAACTTAAAAATGTCAAAAAAAAATGTTTCCCAATCAAATCTTTTACACAACTGTGACCCTAACACATTAAAGCACAAAAGCTTTTTAACTTGATAATCATTTCAATCTTGGAGAGAACTCAACCTTTCCCCTATTTGCAGAGCTTTCGTTAAGAACCTTCACCTTCGTGCAGTGTGCTGCATTACACTGTTGTAACCCGGTGAACCAGAATATTGCCTTTAGGCTGCGGGGATGTTTAACAACAGACTAAATTAACTCCAAACACCAGGCCTTGGTTTCTGGTACAGGCTTTTTTTTTTATGTGCTCATTTTAACATACACGTTTCTACGTGCATGTACCATCCATTTTACCTACGGATTTATTTTTAAATAAGCTCTATGCCCAACGCGTCGCTTGAACTCTAGATCCCAAGATCAGGAGTCACATGCTCCAATGACTGAGCCAGCCAGGTGCCCTGCACCCCACCCCCCATACAGGCTTTTCAAGTTATTTCCATTCTTGCTGTCAAGTTCTTTTTTTTTTTTTAATGTTTATTTATTTTGACAGAGAGAAAGAGAGTGCACGAGCAGGGTAGGGGCGGAGAGAGAGAGAAAATCCCAAGCAGGCTCTGCACTGTCATTGCAGAGCCTGACACGGGGCTCGAACTTAAGAACCATGAGATCATGACCTGAGCCGAAATCAAGAGTTGGACACTGAATTGACTGAGCCACCCAGGCGTCCCTTCCTGTCAAGTTCTAGTCTTGTAATAATTCCTTTTGTAATACCGATATTCTAACTAAATCAGAACTTCTCTTACCTTGGGCCTGAAATTCGTGGTTGGGCCCACGTACTCATGCTGAGCTTTCACGGTACCCCACGGGTGGTAAATTTTGAAGCACTCATTGCAATAGCTCGCGCTACAGTCCATGCAACTTTTTGTGGACTCCTGCGGTGGGGGTTTGCAGAGGTCACACATGATGGCCGTGGCTGCCCTGGCTGCCTGCCGGTACCTCTCGACAATGGTCTCCAAAGTGAAATTGCGAAACAGACCATTGATTCCTCGTTCTCCAAGATCCACGTCATGCTCACAGCCAGGGCAAGGAAAAGTGGTGGTCCTAGGGGTCAGGGAGCTGCGCTTCCAGCCTGTGTAATTGGAAGTCCTTGTTTAGTTACGGCAGTAGGAAAACCAACAGAATGAAGACAAAAGAAGAGAGATTTTGGAAAGAGAAATCTACAAATATATACCCACTCCCAAACTAATACTCAAAGTGGCTCCGCTTGAATTGGTCTGTTTTCTGAAAATGCTTCACGCTTGTTTTTCCTTGGTATGCAAAAGACAAGCCCAAATTGTTAAATAGGTATTAAATCAAAGCAGAAAGGAAAACCCTCTATAGTAAACCCCACACAAAACCACATCAAATCAAACAGATATAAGGAAAAAACATGTAATACAATACTACACGGGGTCAGGATTTTTTTGAAATCATATAATTATACATAATGACTTTTATATGTCACCTCCAAAGTAATTTCGTTTTCATTTAAATGAAGACAGCCTTGGCTGATGACTAGGAAATGAGTTCAGACATAAATGAACAAGAGTCCCTAACCAGTGCTCCATGGATAGGCTCCAGAAGGATCCAAATGGTCTGGCAAACTCTTCGAAATTGTACGCAAGATTTTGCATCAATATACCTATGCTTATTTTCTGGTTCAACAATCCATAGCTATGATCAGATTCTCAGACATACGTAACCACAAAATGGTTAAGGACCACTGCAAAAGAGAGTTTCCCACGGTAGTATTGTTTTATATGGGTAGGCAAAATCATTAGTTAATGGAGTGCAATCTATAAAAGAGTGAAAAGCCCATCCATAGACCTAGAATATAGTGACTTTAAGAGAGACCAACCATTTAGAATCTTCTTATGACCTGAAAAAAAGAATCATTAAAATTACTTAACTCGTTAAGCCAAAAGCTACCCAAAAAGTATTACAAATAACTTTCCAATCTATACATAGTACACTGAATGACCTTAAATAGCATGCTTTGGTTCAATATTACCTGGATTTTAACAAATCAAGAAACCAAGACACGACCGTCCTTACCCACAGGTTCACAAGAATCCAGGGGGTTGTCTCTTTAACACAGGTGTATGCATGCCATTAATTCCCCGCTCTCATTTATAAATCTACCCTTAGAGTACGTAGTCTTGATTGCCCACAAAATCACCTAAATATAAACACAAACTCCTTAACCTACAGCCTTCCTTCACTCTGCCGTGTATCCAGTATGGAAAATGAATGGTGCAACTCAGTAGATCCCATTTAGAAAAGGTCTTTCTACAGCTACATTAATAATGTCTTGGCATATTTATTCTCCACTGGAAGTGACTTTACAACATGCTAAGAGTGCACTGGGTCCCAAAAACTACTTACTTAACAAACATGCAGAATACTTGTATTATCTTCTTTTAAGGATATTTTAACCTTTACGTTTCTAAACATACAAAAAAACCACATACCAAAAAAAAAAAAAGTTTCCCCATAACAGTTTGAAAAGTCTATTTAAAGTATATTCTAATAATTCTCAAAACATGCAACACAGTCCAAGCGAGATATTTCACAACACAGCAGGCACAGAACGAAATAAGCAGCAAAGCCACTTTTAAGACACATGCCAATGAAAAATCTCAGTCAGTGAAACAAAACAAGCCACATAATTTTGGAAGTGATCTAGTGCAGTGGTCAAGTTGAAAGTAATGGAAAGTCACATTTAACTGCATGCTTCCACATGTGAACCAGGTGACAGAAATTAAAATGGAGAATCCCAACAGACAATGTTTAACAAAAATGGGTTATTTATCACTGGTTTTATGAATTGAAGGCTGCTATCAGTTTAAGTGACAGGACCAAACCAAATTAAATCACGACAACAAAGTCATGCTTTAACCTGTATACTGGTGACACCCAGATTGTGGTCTTCAAGTTCAGAAATTTCAAAAAAGATGTTGTGTCCCTTTTCTGTAAACCTCTTTTAACTTTTAACAAAAATAAGGTATCCAGCATCACACTAATTTTCATAAATCAGGCAAAATATTAAATCAATAAATCTTAGCTGTTTTCCTAACAGATCTTTAAAAAATTCCCATATTTTTTGGCAAATGAGAAGACATTTATCTTTTATTTCATCTGTCATGGACTTCTACCACTGTTTTCAAAAACAAACAATAGAACATATATTCGGGGCAACAAAGAAACAGAACACATCTAAAGATATTCTGGGAAGTAAATCTAGTGGGAAAAAAAAAATCAAGACAGGGGAACTAAGAATAAAATGTAAGAGAGTCAACTTTTTCCTCTCTAGAACTGTGCTGTCTACCATAGTAATAATTTAGCCAAATATCACTATTTAAATTTAAATCAAAGATTCCGTTTCTAGGGCACCTGGGTGGCTCAGTCGGTTAAGTGTCTGCCTTCAGCTCAGGTCATGATCTTGCAGTTCGAGCCCCTATCAGGCTCTGTGCTGACAGCTAAGAGCCTGGAGCCTGCTTCGGATTCTGTGTCTCCCTCTCTCTCTGCCCCTCCCCCACTCCCTCCCTCCCTCTCTCTCTCTCAAATAAACACTAAAAAAAAAAAAATTCAGTTCCTCGGCTGCACTAGCCACATTTCAAATTCTCAAGAGCCACATGTGACTGCTGGCTCCCATACTGTACAGAGCTGGGTCAAACAAACATTCCCTTGAACTTAGAATGTTCCATTGGATAATACTCCTCAACAGCATGACTTAATGAAAAAGAAAAAGTAATGATGGCTTTGAAAGGTAAGAAAGCAATGCAGGCCAAGCAATGCAATTATATATGTCGAACTGTATTTATGGGGCCAATCATTCAGGATTATGTGAACATTGTCACTTTGCAGAATCCATTCTTTTCCCCGTATACCTTTATTTCAAAAACATATTAAATGAGTATGAATCATGACACAGTTTTAAAATGAAGACTCCAAAAAAATGTCTTCAAATTGATTTAGAGCAAATCTTCCCCCAAAATCAGCTTTTGGTCACTATGATTTCTCATTTAAACATCAAAGAGAAAATGAAGTATTTCAAAACCAAGTCGATTTCATGACAGGTTCAAAACCTCTGTGAGCTGCATCCTGTCCCATATTCTGGCTACAGACAACTTCCCCACTGTTACCTGCTAGCCAGGTAGTGGACCACCTCCCACTATCCCGCTGGACTTCTATGCTTGAAAATGGGCTGACGGATGGTACTGCCACCTTAATGTTTCTTGTAGCACATTGTAACCAATCTGACGGCCAGTCGTGTTACCATTACCCTTTGAGTATTATGGACACTTTCGACCTGCAGAATCTTTTTCTCAATGGCTGCCTGGGTAAAAAACAGGAAGTAAGCAGTGAACTTTTTTTAAACAAACTGCTCCTACCTTTCCTCCTATTTACTAAATCTCAAAATGCTTAAAATTCTCGGGGACTCACTAACGCCTGTAAGAGAAAGGATTACATATGGCTTTTAGAAGTAACGAGAAGGTCTGTAAATGGAGGCATGCAGACAGGAAGGTAAGGAAGACAGAAAAGGGATAACATTCCAGATGTTTATTTTCTCCAATAAGATATATGGTATCACCAGCATTCTATAAGAAAAGTAGCCAATTTTACTTTAAAGGTCAACTGGAATAAAAACACGTGTTTTTTAATAAGGTAGGTTGGCCTGTCTTTCATTCGGAGTCAGATACTTTGGAAAGCCTAAAAAAGCAGTTTATGTTATTTACCCACAAGTGGGTAAGACCTCAATGTTAAAACTCAAATACTTTGAAACATTAATAAAGGAAAGGCACCATAGGCATAAAACAAGCTAAGCCTATATAATTAAGTCCAAAAAAAATTACCGATACCTTTAAGCAAATTTTTAAATACAAAAGGCACTGGCTGATTTAAGATCTTCACGGTAGCAACATGGCCGTGAATACAAGCTTTGTTCCACTAACCAAACTACATGTAAAGGATTTTTAAGGTGATCCGCAAGAGAACGTCATTTTCTTCAAAAGTATCTTGTCACGCGGATTGACAAAACGGAAGCGCTAATCATCAGTGCTCCCTTTAAAAACAGCAGACCTTGCGTGGAAATTTAGTCCTGTTGACCTTTAAGTCACTCAGCCCAAATGTGTTCACGTTCTACAGAATTTTGAACACTTGACCACTGATGTTTAACAACTTTACGTATACACGGTTACTCAATTTAAATCTAACACTATACTGCCTGCGGCCACACAAGCAATAAAAGCATTTTCTACCTCTCCACCCCAAAGATCTCCGTTGTGATGCTGTGAACAATGAACAGAAAGCTGGATTTAGGATTTAATTTCAAAGAGAAGATTCACAACTTGTTAACAAAAGATAAAGCAGCAACTGTGTCCTGCACATAACACAATTCTTGAATTAACACTAAGAAAATGTGTTTCTCCTTGGCACACGTGGTATTTATGAAACCATCATTGTAAAAACATTCATCAGGCCGATCCTGGAGCCCAGAATTAAATCATTGTTGGTGCAACACTTAAGAGGCCTAAACTTTATCTTATAGATTTGCGTTTTTAAGCAATCATATTTCTGGTAACTGTTGAAAATACACAGCAATATCAAGCATCCTTTGTTTGATTTTTTTGTAACCGATGTATTATCAACACTGCATATAAACATTGTTAAAGCGGATTTTATCCTCCTGACAAAAGGAAATACAAAATGCAGGAAAAGCCTTGCATACGTGTGACCCAAAATGTAGAGTAAAATGGCTATTTTTACATCACTGAATGTGTTACTGTGTTATACACACAAACCTTACTCTCCTTTCAGGGCACCCTTTTAAAAATCTGTCCAATCTCCAATGCAACAATATCCAAAAGGGATATGTGAGCCCAAAAGCATCAGCCACATATGCCATTTTAAATGTTCTAGTGGCCAGATTAAAAAGAAACAAGTGAAATTAATTTTAATCATACATGCTATTTATTTCACCCAATATATCCAAAATACTATCCCATCAAAATGCAAACAGAGATAAAAATCATTAGAGACATTTTATATCTTTTTTCATTCTAAGTGTGTGACATTCAGAGTATATTTTATACTTCCAGTAATCTCAGTTCCAGCTGGCACATTTCAAGTGCTCAATAGCCACATGTGGCTTATGGCTACTATACAGGACAGTACTGGTCTAATTAATCCCTTTGGCAAACCAAGAGCAAAACCAATTTTTAGAAATCTGCTCCTCCCACACCAATTGCTCAGAATAGGATTTCCTCCCCGAGTATGTCCAAATGATGAAAACCTTTTTAAAAATCTGCCAGAAGGGAAAGGGGGGGGGGGGTGCATTACTTCCCTATAAATTTCTCTTTCAATCTCTCTGAAGAGAAATTAGAGCCAAAGGCCCCATAAATGGAGGGTAGCATTATATTTGTGATGCAGTAACTTCTATTAATTTAAAACTGGTATCATGAAAAGGAGGACAATCCTAAAATCTGCATTCATTTGAGAAGTGACTACTATACTTGGAGCCTCCCCACCCTGAGTTCTTCATCTGTATTTGTTAATTTGCTCTGTACGCTCTTCTTGATGGAGGACTGTGTTCTCCATGTGTACATGAAGACTCTGTACAATGCTGGACTATATGCTTCTTAAAAAGGAGCGGTGGATCTATCTTGTTCATGCCTCTTCAGCATTGGGCCATGTCTGGCAACCAGCAGGTAAATTAAGTATTTGTTGAGCGAATGAATGAAATGCAGAAGTTCTCTGTACTGGCTGCTCATGTACAATGGGCTCGACCCAGAACCCAAGGCAGAAATCCCCTCTACAGGGAGTCAAATGGTGGTCACACAACCAGTGTTTAAAATAAAGACTCCAGGGGCACCTGGGTGGCTCAGTCGGTTAAGCATCCAGCTTCGGCTGAGGTCATGATCTCGTGGTTCATGAGTTTGAGCCCCACATTGGGCTCTGTGCTGATGGCTCAGAGCCTGGAGTCTGCTTTGGATTCTGTTTCCCTCTCTCTCTGCCCCTCCCCCACCCATGCGTGCTCTCTCTCTCTCTCTGTCAATAATAAACATTAAAAATAAAAAAATAAAAAAGACTCCAAATACTGATGGCCCAAACACTGGATGGGTCACAGTCAAAGATGTGTTTTGGCTGCCCTATCCTGTTGAGTTGGCGTGGTTTTTAAATGATTTGAATTAACTACCCACATGTAAAAGATCACATGTCAAACCCACCATCAGGCTCTTGTGCGGGGGGAGGGGGAATGTCTGGCACTAGTGCCAAGTGGCTACTGCCCCATTAGACAAGGCATCCATTCTAGTCTAAGGTCCGGAACCATGTGCCACTGTCTCTAACAGGGGAGGCCTGGAAGACAGCTGGCTGCTGATACCTAGGCTGCTGGTTTTCCTATGGTAGCTGAGTTAACGGGAAAATGAAATCTCGTCTATCTCCATATCAAGTAAGATGAAAGGCGTTCCTGTATTTATTATGCCGGGGGCCTGCCTCGCTAATGTGTTTACTGGGCCCTGCAGCATCTAACTGATCTCTTCCAGTGACAGGGATCTGACAATCTCATTTTGGGAAAGCCTGTGGGGTGTATTTTCTTACGCACCGAGCTGAAATCTGCATTCCTCTTTCACCATTCACTGATCGGGAACCTCTGTGTGAAGATCCCCAGCTTACTGTTCTCTTCCGCAAGACCACCATCATATCCTGCACTCTCCCCCTCTCCAAGTTAAATACTCTGACTTCCTGTAATTGCTCCTCCCAGAAGAGTTTTCTCGCTTCCCCCCTTTGGGACATGATCCAAACTGTAAGTTCTTCCTAAAGAGGGAGGAACATGTCACTAAGTCTATTTCTCATCTGGACACCATCAAGTATGATGGAATGGATCTCTTGTTCTGGACAAAAACACCACTATTACAGAATAAAAGCCACTATGGCATGCTTTGTAGAAATCCCACAACATTCAACAACCACTCCACAAGTATTTATTAAACATCCACCAAGTACTGTCAGATGAGCTCTTAAAAACAGCCATATCTCATCTTGCTAGACACATACTTCATCTGTATTTCATTCATTCTCCATATGAATCACATATAAAAACCAACCAAGCACTGAGATTAAAAACCGGCAACAGATACAGGATTTCGTAAAATATGTACATAAGCTCAATCTAATTACAGAAATATTAGTACGTGACTAAAATTCCTCTGAATGTTAAGTACTAATACTTAATAAATACCTGCTATATATTAATATACAAAAAGTGAATCTCTCTTGGTCAGAAAGGGATCCCTAATTAGCCAGGGAGGATCTACCAACAGAATATCTCCATTTTATCTGGTAGGGGATTTTAAGCTATTGAAATGTCTCTCCTCCCTCCTCCGTGTGACAGCTAGCTCCTAGCAGGGAGGGAAACATACAAGTGATGACTTCACAATAGGCAGGACCCTCTCTGACCTCATACTCCCTACATCCCCACCTACTTCATGCTCCTCTTTTTATATAGCCTTCTAATTTTTTTATGTGTGCAAAATAATCTTCCGAGGAATTCGTGATTACCATTTAAAGTAAAATACATGTTTTTAAAACAGCCTAATACAACTCTTAGAACAAATCCCTCTTATCCAGTGTCTGATGGAGCACAAGGACACCAACATTGCTCTAAGAGATTCCCCATCACGGTGTGGACCAAAAGGGACAGCATTTGCTAAATGCAAGTAAGGAGGAAGAGACTCTCTTCCGATATGTTTTTTTTTAACACATAAGATTAAAAAATTATTCCTACACTGTAAGAGGGAGAAATAAACACAGTGGCCTAAAGGATCAAAACTAAAACCTCGAAGTCCAACAGTCTGGTGCCCAGAGCCACTCAAGGACTCTCCTCCAAACAAAGGGCGAACCTAACGTGACACTGCGGTATTTCTACCCAAAGCTCTGCCTCCCCTTGGTCTTTCCTCACTGCTGATTTTGGCCCTGAAATTCTCAGTGGCCCTGTTCCCAATGATTTCAAATTAGTTTTGATCTACCTTAATCCTGCAATGGATGTCCAGAAGAAAGCAACACCATCCCAAAGGGAAACAACTGACACTCTGGCTGCATAATAAGGGCTCTGGCTGTACAGACAGATGTGCCACACATCTAGATCTACTTCTGTCATTACGACAGAGTTCCGCCACTATTTAGTTGATATTCAAAATTCTTCTTCTAAAACATGGATTAAAAATGGCTGAAGAAAACAGAATCCTCAGGTAGAACAAAACGATACCAAATAACGCATCTAAAAAGTCTTTTAGGAGTAGTCACTGTGGAGTCTCATCCTTTAATCGGCATATTTATTTACATATTACCAGAGACAGATGTTTCCCTAGTAAGTACTTCTGTGGTCCATTACTCCATCCCTCGTATAAAGGACACCACAGGGTCAGAACATCCCCTAAATACAGTTAATGAGGGGTCTAACACAAAGCTGGTGTTCAATCCCCGACTTTTAGTGTGTACCAGGACAGTGAGGAGTTCATTTTGATATTTTCAAAGAGGGAACGGTTCCTTTACAACTAATTTTAATTAATTCACCTGGAAAGATCAACCCTCAAAGCGGCAACAGTAACTTCCCTTCCAAAGACACAGCGGAAACTCCCAGACCCCAAGCTGCTGGCACGTACCTGGTCTGCTAATTCTGTCAATTTTGTCCATGCTAGGAGAGGGGAGCCGGAGTCGAGGACTGCTCTGATTGGAATTGTCCGATCCCACATCGTTGAAGGAATCGTCGAGTGTCAGCAAGAGTTCTTTTACACACTTATGACAGATACTGTGTTGACAAGGGAGAATCAACGGATGGGTAAAAAGCTCCTTGCATGCGGGGCAAATGAGCTCTCTTTCGATATTCTTAATGGTAACCTGGAGTTGAGGAAAAGAAATCAGAATCAAAATAAGTGCCTGGACCCCATTAAACATGTGTGTTCACCCTTCCAAAAGAATTAAGAATTCAGAATTAAGAATTTAATCTGAAGTCCCTTTTTGGCAACGGAATTCCGTACCATCAACCCTCACCCCCCACCTCCTAGAACAGAAGGGACACTTGACATGGTTAAAACTGAAGTATGAGAAAAATCAGCACAAAATATGAGGGGCCCATAATATTTCATCTGTTATGAAGTTACTCAAATCATCATGAATTCACTGATTTAGGACATCTGAGAAATCCTACAAGTAGATCACTACAGTAAAAGGGAAGAACATGGCATACTGAGAATGAAACCATGTTCCTCCTGGGCACACTAACTCTGTGGCAAATAACAGGGGCCGGCAAAAGCTGGGTTCGCCAGTATGTTCGTGGAAGCTTCCTTGAAATCTATTTACGAGCTGTACCATCAGCAATTTTCTACATTAAATGTGACCAATTTTCATAGGCTGCAACTATAATGTAGCTAAAATGCTTCATCTCCTGGCGTTGGGTATCCAAGTGGTTCTCTTAAAAGCACTTTATGAATATTGAAAGGGTGGGGAGGACTACAAAGCACCATTATTTAAGTGCTCTCCATACTACAGGCATGCATTATTTTCCACGAGAAACACGGAGTCTCAAAGGTTAGATGACCTCATACCAATTTTCGCAACCTTTCATATGTAGTTCCTGCGCGCGCGCGCGCACACACACACACACACACACACACCCCTCCCAAACTGCAGGTGCTATGAATCTATATTCAGCCTCCCTGCCATTTTACAGTCATTTCTGAAAGTACTCCTAGACCTCGTGCAATCATTTCAACTACTGGAAACACACAGAACGTCAACATCGAGTTAATTCATTTAGTTTAACTAAATAAAAACGCATTCCCCCTAAAGCGACACTGAGTGCTTTAACAGTCCGTGACAACAGCACCACATTGAAATGCCTTTATCACTGTGGATGGGTCTTTGAAGTGTTTCTTGCTGCATCATTCAATAAATATTTAATAAAAGCCCACATCATGTCACGATTTTTTCAAACTTGGAAGACAGCCACACTTCATGGCAAAGAAAATAGAATATTCACGTCCTATGTCATTTCACCAAGAACGTGACACCCAACTGAGCGTCCAAAATAGATTCAAAGGGGATTATTCTGAGTGTCCAAAATAGGCTCTCATTTGATGGGAGGTTTACCTCCCGCTGGAAGATCTAAAATCATTTCCATCTTCCTGGTCCATAAAGCGGTACGTAAGCTTTTTACCCACGACAGATACAAGACAATTCTTATCCAAAAGAAAAAATGAGTTTTCCGTTTTTACATCCACCGAGGGAAACACCCTGATTAAGAGAAATAGGATGTGGCGGCTCCCACAATGAAGCTGTCTGAAAATCACTGGGGGTTCGACCGGAAACTAACAAGTTGGAAAGAACTGCCGATCCGACCCTTTCAGACAAAAACACTTTGCACCCCGACAGCTGCCAGGGCAAGCCCGCCCCCCGCGCGCAAGCTGGCGAAGCCGGGGAGGAGCCTCTCCGCGCGCCGCGACCGCGAGCCGGGTGGGCCGCGCCCGCGGGGGTCTGGGCGCCGGCTCCGCGACGCTCCGGGACAAAGGACGGCCCGACACGGACGGGGCATGCGCCCCGCGCCGCGACGGGCACCCGACTCCCGGAGGCGAATGAAGTCTACAGCCTGGACCCCATTAAAGAGCCCCTCCGGGATTGCCCGAGGTGCTCAGGTGGGCGATCGCCGCACCCGAGCGGCGCCCCCTCGCGGGCCCAGGAGACCCGGGATCCGACCCTCCGAGGCGTAGAAAGGGGGCGCCCCGGATTGCGGAACCCGGGGCGCGGAAGGCGAAGAGGAAGCGGGGCCACCACACGCCCGCCCTCGCTCCTCGTGAGGCTAGGCTCCCTCTGGCTCAGGGCGGAGGAGAGAGACCCGGGGGTCCCGGCGAGCCGCCAGGGAAGCGTGAGGTGGCGGCCCCTGTCGCCCACTCACCAGCGTTTCGGAACCATCCCCTTCCATAGTAGCCTTCTGCCAGGTGTCATCAACGGCAGGGTCCAAACAGGCAGGCGGCCCCGGCAGGGTCTGGTGGGCGGGTCCCTGCGGCGGCCGGGAAGCCTGGGTTCGGAGCCAGAGGGCGAGCTGGTCGGCCGGACCCGGCCAGCGGACCGACGCGGCGAGGAGCGGGGCGGGCGAAAGCACACGCGCGGAGAGCCGAGCTGCGCTCCCTGCGACGGCCCCGGAATCCCGCCCCGCGGCCGGCTGCGGCGGCAGCTCCTGCAGACTGCGGCTGGGCTGGCGGCCGCGCGGAGACCGGGGCGCGGACGCCTCCGAGGGGCGGGACCGGGGCGGGGCGGCGCCGTCGCCCGGGCAACAGCGCCCACCGCACAAAGGGGGCGGGGCCGCGGGCGGCGGCGGGGCGGGAGTGCGGCGCGCGCCGAGGTCCGGGCTCCCTCCGCCGTCGCCACCGCCTGGGCCCCGCCCCCTCGGCCGCTCGCCCCTTCCCGGGCGGCCGCCGCCTACGCGGCCAGACGCTGTAGGAAGCCTCGGAGGGGCGGAAGTGAGGGGGCTAGGGAGGCGGAGGGCGGGGCCGGGGCGGGGCCGGGGTGGGGCGGTCGGCAGAGTATCCGCGGACTGCAGCTCTGGCTGCTGGCCGGGCACCGCCCCTCTGCCCTTCATTTTGCTTTCCCTGCGCTTTGGTGAAGCGCGATGTGAGGCATCACCTACAAGCCCGGTTTCCCGACTCTGGACGGCCGGCGGGGGC